ATCAATAAACAATACAGGCGGGCATAGTGCACTTGACCAACGATTAATAAACTTTCGCTGGCCTTCATATGCGTTCCACTGCTCCACAGCCACGAGCACAGCTTTCACACACAATCTGATATCATTCCGAAAAGGGACAAAAAAAATCTACACATGGCAACACAGCAACAATAATTAATGTTTCTTTACAAATAGATTATGATATTTGTTAATTATTATTTAATGTTATTTTTCTGGCAACACCAACAATAGCGGACCGCTCGTACGAACTTTCACTGTCACTCAAAATATCGCGAGTGTTACAAAACGTTTTTGGCATAAGATTAAAAATGTTTAATGTACATACGTACGGAACATCAATTTTTCATATCTGAATAGCGAAAGTGACCGCGATGTAGTACAAAGGATTGTATTGTTGAATACATTTTTTTGTATTGAAATTTTCGAAAGGTCGAAGATCTTCGTGATTTCTGTACTGGTTAAAGGTTAAATTAGATTTAAGATGAAAAATGTACTTATTACGTAACACATCCGCCTTAATACATAAGTACATTATGAGATTACAGAAACTTAAGTAAGTAATGGCATAGTGGTTAAAAAGCCTGCCTCTTATGCATGAGGGCGTGGGTTCAATTCTGGCAAGTACCAATGTGATTTTTCCGAGTCATATGTACTTTCTAAGACTATTTAGACATCACTGATTAATGCATTCCCAAAAAGGGTTGATGTCAGGTAGAAGAAGATAGCTAAGTTATAAGTAAGGAACCAAGAAAATACTTCAGTTTGGCTTCTGTTTTACAAAAACTATATATCAAACATGTCTTATGTTACAGCCAAAGCGTGTCAAGACACTATAGAATGGCCGATTGGCATACTTACGACATCGTCTTTAAATTTATTTTGACTCTAAATCGTTTTCATATATGGTGTATATCTTTCTATTTATTGCTAATGGCTTTTGCTACGTGTTTGGGAGCGGATTTATTGAGTCTCGTATCATATATAGATCCTGTCTGAGGATATGCTAAGATATTGCTTTTGAAATAGACCATTTTTCTTGATAGGATGTAAATATCCTGTTGCTTTGATAAAATTATGAAATATTATAAAATGAGAGTTTTGTTAAGGCTTATAATGAGTTTACTTTATAAATAAAGATATAAAAATCAAACACCTAATATGTACTGATTTTAATAATTTATATTTAATAGTAACATTATGAAAGAGACCTAAGATTTTCGCGAGTACTCATTTAAATGAAACTAATATTTTCGGATTTTACTTCGCGTATTTATTTTTGACTATAAACTACATACTCCCGACGTTTCGGCTACTTATAGCAACCGTGATCACGGGCATCTCGTCTGTCTATATAATCAAAAATAAAAAATCGCATAGTAAATCGGAAAACATTAGTTTCATTTCAATTATGAAAGAGGTTTTTCGAGCTGTTTAGAAACTGCATATATTATATAAAATATAATAAAGAAAGTGAAAAATTAAAATTCACATATCAAAAACTTTGTTACTTATTCGTATTTTTCGAACAAATAATATTCATAATAATGAAATTATTATTTCATGCAATATTACTTCGTAACGACATGAACTTTCAAATGTTTAGCATAACTTTGTAATAAAAAATTTATTGTCATCAAAATATAATATAATTTAATTGTATAATATTACTTAATGTTTTATACAAACAATTTATATACAATTTACTTTGCTTTATAGACAATACGTTGGATATATTCACAAAAATATATAATTATATGTGTAATCATGAAAATCTATAATTCTCATAAAACTGTACACGAGATATATATGTACATTTGTATAACTATTTATATATATGACAGAAATAGAACGAGTTATTTTTTTTTTCATTACAATTGTATCTCTTACTGGCTTTAGCATACCTAAAAAGAGGTGCTATACAAATATATATTTAGGTATTTTATATGCAACTTAATAATTATTAAGTATGGAAATATAACTTGTTATATTTAAGCAAAATTCGTTTTATATTTCCTTAATATAGCATAAGCTTATTTATGAAAAAACAGATGTTTGATATAAGCAAGTGCTACTTATTAAGATTTTCACTGTTTGCAATTTTAAAACGTTTATACATATATGTATATAGGAAGCTATCAAATAGGAAAGTGTATTTCGAAAAAACTAAACGCATTAAAATATCTAGAACTAGGTTAAAATGACACAACACGACATACGTACTTATGACAAATTCAATAAAAATGAATATAAATGTTATTTATGGACCGACATCGGATAATCTTGTTATTACTCGGGTCAAACTGTAAACCTATTACTGACTGTATAATTATTTGTGACACAATTATGTCACAGAACTATGTAGTAAGTCAGTTATTATGTCAATCTGACCATTGTAATTTGACACGCGTGCCGGGATTGTAATAAAAAAATGTAAGCACCGTTACAAAATGATTTTTTTTAATATAATGATTTATAACCGAATTATATGAAAGAAATCTATAAATAGAATATGTTGATATATTTTGTTTGTACTGCTTTTTTCATTTAGAATTCACATATTAGAAGTTTTTCCAATAATTGTACTGACATTATGACCAAATATAATTTTTTATTGTGGACTGTAAACAGTTACTCATAAACTCTAAATTTAAAACTTATTTTATAGAATGCATTTTTAGTCAATGTGTGTAAAGTTTTAAACATTTTAAGTCCGGATACACATTAGCTTTTCAACACAAGTATCACGTAAAAATCTTCCTTGTTACTATTTTAAACCGAAACGACCCAGTTACAGAAGAAGCTAATTAAATATAGGCAATAAAAAAAACGAGTATTCTTTAAGTATAAATAAAGAAAGAGTATTTAATACCAAAAACAAGTATTAAATCTCTTTCCAACAAGATGCAGGCAATGCAATACTAGTACGATTTCATTACACTATGATTCATAGCTACAAATAATTTATATTCACAACCGTAAAAGGAAACGTCTGTCTGTCATAGCGCGCGATGTAATTTGCTCGTATGACTTACACAGAGATGGAATTAATTACTACCTGTGATGTTGAGGTGAGTTTAAATGGTCGTTTTAATTGATATTGAGGTGAGAATATATGTAGTTAGCATACATGTAATGTATGTACGTATTGTTCACGGATAATTATTAAAATATATCATCCTTAATACAGAAACAGAGTGATATATAATGAAATTAATTCTAAAATAATCTTGTCCAATACTTAAAGGCAATTAATTGTAGTTGTAGTTTTTAAACTTTTAATTAATGCCATTATATAAAAGTAAACTTCTATTAAGAGTATATTAGAATACAAATAGTATTTAGGGATTTTTTCTACAAAAATAAAATCACAAAACCGTATTGCAAATGCAAATTTGGGGCGTGCGTTTAAATTAAACATGCAATAATAAGATAGCTATGGTCAGAGAGGCTAGTTTTTGTTCATTAAAGTCTAAAATATAGCAAATTAAACCTAATATAAATAAGTAATATATTTTAATTTTCAGATTTGGGTTGGCAAATAACTAATTAAGATCTTCCATAACGTGTATCCATTGAACAATGACATTATAAAGATATAAATCTATTTATACGTAAAGTGGGACAGGGCTTCTTACGAATAACATTTTAACTAACAGCCAATTGAAATTTCCAATTTAATCCAATTACAATTAACTGTCTTACTGGATATCGTGACTGAATTCACCTCTTGATTTCCAAAGATCGTAAAATAGTTAACAATAGATTCAACTCTGTAGATAAATTATCTGTCTTATTTGCATTAAATTATATGCGGCTTATTTTTTTAATGGGAATTATTTTTTGTGCTATGCTCCTTTTAAGGTGGACGTCAAATCCCACGGATCGATACTCGATAGATTGTATTGACTTCAACGGAAGTTCTATAAAAGGCTTATGCCGTCTTTCGTTCCCATAGGATTTAACTGTTACACATTTATTTATAGAAGCGTGAAATAAATTTTAAGGCAAACAGAAACAATGCCAGTTTAAACAAGGTTATAGAAGAAAAAATAGAGTTGTATAAAGTAAGAATTTTAAACATCTTGTAAAGTCTGTGTTCGTTGGTTTACTAAGACCTACCTTGTACCTACTGTCAGCTTTGAATCGCTCGTTTTCTATAAAATAAAAGGCAAATAAGCATAATCTTGCGCTGTGCGAGGTCAAGCGTGACGTGGCCTGCATTGTCTTTAAATATAACAGGGGAACTTCAATACCGCCCAGTCGTTCCTTAAACGTAAAGCATAAAGGCTTATGGGCTAAAATTGGCACTAAGAGTGTCCACTTCTTGCAATTTTGCCCCATCATTGTTTCATCTTCCCATACCATGCGAGTATGGAATTTAACGTGAGCGCTTGGAAAACTATCATTATTTATTTTTTGCGGTGAAGAATAAAATTGTTATATTACATGGGACCAATCACAGGAGTTTCAATAGAATGTATACTTTCTTGACTATTAATAATGGTCTATTCATATATAATGTTGCTGGTTTATTTTAAGTTATTCAGTTTCAGCGTTATGGACACAAGTATTAATGCTTAGGTTTGTAATATGCGCAATTTATGGTCATAAGAAGATTGCGCTCTCGTAATCTTTTGCGTTCACCTCAGGCCATATCTTCCCGCTGCATAAATCCTAACGATTTGTGGTACTTTCCAACAGGGTTTTAGCCCTTATAGAATCAGATTGCGAGTACCGGCACTAACGGGGGCATTACAATTACTTAGTACAGTTACAGGAAAAAGACTAATAATTTTAACTTAATATTTTTATAAAATTATACTTTAATGATAACTTTTTCTCGTTATACACATAAAAAATATAATAAAAAGTAGATTTTTTTGGATCCAAAACAATATAAACATTCAATTTATCTCATTATTAATGAATACTAAATTACTCGTCGATATTTATATGAAATATTAAATAGTATGTCAATATCAAAGCGGACCGGTTGGAGCAATAATGTCACTATTGATACCCATTGCTTCATTATTAATCACATGGAACGGGTTGCTGAAGCAGGTTCCCATGGTACCGTTAGCCATGACATCAGCTATACGCTCCTCTACCGGACCTGAAGCATCCATCACTTAACAGTTGAAAGCGACAAGAGACTTCGCCCCGATTTGATTTACGCCTCACTTTCAACGGCATACCGTTAACGCTTTTAAAATGACTGCCGATAAGAAAGTCGGCAAAGTAAGACGGATGATCGGATATACCTTATTATGACACTCACTCTGTGTTACATATGAGAAATATATTTAAGATATTGTATGCTCAAACCTTCTCCATGTGAGAAAGAGGCCTTTGCTCAGCAGTGGGCTCTGATAGGCTGATGATGATGATGGTTTTAAAGTGAATATAACAATAGATGAAGAGATTGATAATCATTATCATTTTCCTAAAGAGGGTTGATGTCAGGCAGGCGGCCGGTCGTAAAAACAATTAGCCAAAACTATTCACAACATGTAAGGCAGACCCTGGCTACAGCTGGGGAATTGCCAGGAAGAAGAAGATATAGAACCTAAAACTTTTATTAGTTATGCACAGAATACTGGACGAATGATAATAGGTTTGAAAACGTGTGAAGTAGCGCGATGTATAGATGGCCTTATTATATGAAGTTATAAGTTATTTCAAAGATCAATTCCTCAACACATTGTGTGTAGTAAAAGCTTTTTAAATTAATCAATGTCTTTTGTATTAAATCAAGAAATAATAAAAAATTACGCTATTAAACGACAGAAACTTTTTCCGATCTTAGGATTTTCGGGATATCAAATCCCAGCCCCTGTGCAAATTGAGCTATCGGTCCCTACTAAAATTCATAAATAATGTTACGTCTTCAATAAAGTTAAAATGATTAGCTTGACCAGAAATTTATATTACGAATTAATGTTTACAAGCTAGCAATAATTACAGTATGATGATTTTAATATACTCACATTGCCGAGAAAACCGCTGCAAGGTTGTATTGGCGGAGGTAGAGGTTGCTCGGGCGACCGACGCGCGAAGTCTTCTGTCTGACCCATGTCTCTTAATTCTGCATCACTGGATAAAAAAAACACTATTATACTTCACACCCACAAAAAAATATCGATATATTTTCAAGGATTCCAAACACTTACTTATCCTCGTAACCTGAATACAAGTAACGGCTTTCCTAACTAGCAACCAGTTATACAAATCTAGTACTTATACGATATTAGATGAAGATGTCCCATTCATTATTACTGGTTGTAGTGAATGTGTAATGTGTGACATAGATTCTGTTTTAACAAAACATATAATGTTGCTATATTATAAATACGTTTATTAGTTCTCGTGGCGTCGGTTCGAGCCGAGTTGTTCTCCTATGTCTCGGGTAGGAGGGCACTCGGCGAGAACCCTTCGTCGGAGGAGATCCGAGCGGTTCGTCGGCAGGGGGAGGAGCGCCTTATGCGGGAGTGGGGGGAGGACCTGGCGGAGCAGCCGTACGGTAGACGTACAACGGCAGCGCTTCGCCCGGTCCTAGAGCGTTGGATGAGGCGGAAACGCAAACCCCTCACTTTCCGTCTGACGCAGGTCTTAACCGGGCACGGGTGCTTTGGTTACTACCTGTGTCGGACGGCCAGGAGAGAGCCGGGAGAAGGCTGCCATGAGTGCGGCGCTGCGGTGGACTCGGCCCAGCACACCCTCGAGGTGTGCCCGAGATGGGCTGCGCAGCGCCAAGACCTTGTGGCGGCTCTCGGCGGAGTGGACCTGTCGCTTTCGAGTGTCGTGGAGAAGATGCTCGAGAGTGATGGGTCCTGGTTGGCGGTGTCCTCCTTCTGTGAGACGGTCATGTCCACGAAGGAGGCATCTCAGCGGGAAAGGGAGAGGGCGGCTGATGCTCCCTCCCCCCGCAGGCGACGTACGGGGGTGCGACGGAGGCAATTCCTACGCCTCCAATAGCACCCCTGTGTTCCGGGCTGGGGTCGGCGTGGTAACCCGGCCCTTCTGAAAGCCCGGCGTCGTCGGGGTGGTCCTAATTGCCGGGATCGCCCCCATTCTCCGAGGGAGTAAGTCCGGTCTTTGCCAGGACCGGCCAGTCGCTGGTGTGCCCTGTCGCTGACAGATCCGGGGTACATCGACATAGCGGCCGATGGCTTTCGCAGTGGTTTTAGTGAGTAGGGGCCTGCCCAGGCCGAGCCTCACACATCCCTTCCGTCCCCACCAAGGTCGGTTGGACGGCTCGTAAAAAGAGTTTCCACTACGTCAACAAAAAAAAAAAAAAAAAAAAAAAAAAAAAAAAAAAACGTTTATTAGTTAGGATTGATGTTTGTGTATTGTTTTGTTAAACTTTATAACTTTGAAGTAACCAGAAAAAATGCCGCCTCAATCAAATGAACTAATGCTGTTTATGCTTAGATCTTAAGACAAATTTATGTATAATTATGTAGAAAGCAGGATATAAATGTCAAAGAATTTATTCACGAAATGAAATCTAGAAAAATTATGCAAAAACATAACAAAATCGAAAACGCTAGACTAAAACACTTAACGACACTTAAATCTGCATAAGTGCTATGACATTTGACATGATTACAAAACACATGTTTAAAACAACTTTGGTTTTTATATATTACTAGCTTTCCGCCCGCAGCTTCGCCCGCGTGGAGTTCGGTTATATCGCGTTTCCAAGAGTCAAAAGTCTGGAATAAAAACTATCCTATGTTCTTTCTCAAGGTCAACTCTATCTCTGTATCAAATTTCATTAAAATCAATTCAGTGGTTTTGGCGTGAAAGCGTAACAGACAGACAGACAAACAGAGTTACTTTCGCATTTATAATATTAGTAAGGATAGCGTGTAATGAGGAAATGTTTTTTAATAACGCAATGTGGGTATAATTCTCCATCGATTGCCCAATATGTCGCATAAATATGTTATTATTGGTAAGAATTAAAGATTTTTTTGTTATAAAACATAATCTTGGCTATTTTTAAGACGGGTGTGTCATGATGATGTAATTTTATACACTAATTGTGAACTAACGCTTGATATATGATTATATAATGTTAATATTGACAAATTTGAATTTATAAAGAAATAAGAAGGTATAGTATTTCAGTAGAAAGCACTTTTGATTTCTGCATACGTAGACCAAATTTGCATACGATGCATTTCCCGTTTCTCATTCAATAAACTACGTTAATGCTATAATTATAGGATTAATGTATTAAAAACTATTAAAGTTCAGTTTTTTGTCTAATAAAGCTAACTTAGACTTAATATTACGCACTTTTAGAAAGAAAATTTCACTAGTTATATCTGTTTTCGGTAACTGTAATTCTTTGTAGAAAATTTCCTCAAATCAGTACTGCAGTTAATATGTACCTACAACTGGCACAATCAATACTGAAAAAAGAAATTAATGTGATTAAGAAAATCCACACAAGAGCAAAGAAAGTTCCAATTGAAATTTCTTAATTCATATTTCTACAACTAGATATGTTTCTCTCAATATAATTTCAAGACGAATAATGTACTACTGCACTTTAGTATTGAGGGCCAAATTTAACTTTGCTCTCTTATTCAAATACTTCGTCCTAACTCCTAGGGCGTGTTAATTTCTTTTATTCCTTAACACTAGAAAGACCAGAGTGGTCAAATGACCCCAATGAAGTTATTGATCAATCATATTATCAAAACCATGGCTTTGAAGTCATTGTTGTTTTATGACTTTTAATATTTCGTCATTGTTTATATTATTCTGATATGTGTATACCGATAGCAAGATAAATACTAATTAAAAATTATCACCTACCTAGAAAGACCACAGTGGTCATTTGACACCACTGCGTGCATGCTTTGTAAAAATTTTCATTTCGTTGAATATACTCGTGTTGTGGGTAATTGAAAATATTGCTGTGAATGACCTTTGGGACAAAAATTGGGGTATTCAGTTTTGTTCACAAAACATGGCTCGAAATCGTTTCAAAGAAATAATGCGTTTCCTGCGTTTTGATGTGCGAACAGAAAGGGCTGAACGTTTGCAAACAGATAAATTTGCAATGATTTCGGAAGTATGGTATAAGTTCATCTATAACAGTATTTCATGTTACAAGCCTGGTGAAAACCTTACTGCTGACGAACAGCTTTTTTCCACAAAAGTTCGGTGTAGATTTTTGCAGTTTATGGGTAACAAACCAGACAAGTTTGGAATAAAGTTTTGGCTTGGCGTTGATGTTGATTCAAAGTACTTGTGTAATGGTTTCCCATATTTAGGAAGAGATGAAAGCCGTCCACAAAATCAAAGTTTAGGCGAGTGCGTTGTATTGCGACTATAGACCCATACTTGAATATAGGTCGAAATATAACAACTGATAATTTTTTCACTAGTGTAAATTTAGCTAAAAAGCTAATTGAAAAGCGTACATCAATAGTTGGTACGATAAACAAAACACGACGAGATATTCCAGATACTATAAAAAATGCATCCCTTAGTTTATATAAACACATTTTCACAACTCTGAAACCTGCATACTTACAGTTTATCAAGGAAAACCGTCAAAATCAGTTATGATTCTAAGTTCACTTCACTCTAATGTATTTGTTGATCCAGAAGAAGCAAAAAAGAAGCCGAACACGGTGAAGTTTTACAATGCTACGAAATTTGGAGTAGATGTTATTGATCAAATGGCCAAGAATTAACTATATACTTGACACTAGTCAAAGCACCTTCTCGTCGTTGGCCCGTGCAAGTGTTTTATAATATTTTGGATTTGACAGCAATTAATTCTTGGATTTTGTACAAAAAACTATCCGAGAAAAAAATCAGTAGAAAAAAGTTCATTCTTGACTTGGCAAGAGAGTTAGTCGGCCAAGATACCCACTGCCTGATGACACCATCTACTTCACAGCCCGAAAATAGCATACCCCTAGAGGCTGAAAAAGAACGTATTGGAAAGAGAAAACGGTGTTACGTGCAAAAATGCAGAAACAAAACCAATAAATCTTGTATTAGTTGTAAAAAGCCTTTGTGTGGCTCTTGTAATGTAAACAATGAGCTAAAATGTCAAAAATGTGCTTAATATATTCATTTTTTTATCACATAATAGATGTTTAATTACTATTAAGTTCTTTTATTTACTATTATATGTTAATCAATAAAACTTAAAACCATTTTACACGAATAAAACGATACAACCCATGAATGAGTCATTTGACCCCACTTGGTCTTTATAGGTAGTTCAAAATTTCGGTCTTTCTAGTGTTAAATTATAGTTTTGCTATTTAACAAATTAACAATTTATAATATGCATACATAATACTACTTTTTGTCAGAATCATGATTCAAGCTAAAAAGAAAGTCCTCAATATATTTAAATAAACAGAACCTTTGTTTATAAGTGGTAGCTACATTGCGTCAAATAAGAAGTTTGTGGTTTTTTAGTTCTTCAAATTGAAACCAAAGCTGAGTTAAACCTGAGTTTATCGCGAGATTTATAAGGGTTCTAGAGAAAAATTGTCTCGACAAAGAGACGTACGATAAAATTATCCTATGATAGTATAATATTTGGAAATTAAGAAACTTGTGAAGTATAGTTGAAATTTCAGAATCTCGTTAAAAAATAAAAATCATGAGTTTAATAGATTTAACCAACATTTTTGTACACAAAAAAATGTAATCTGTCATTTACTACAGAATTTTAGGAAACTTTAAAAATTAAATTATGTATATAATATTTCCAATAAACACTTAAGTAAGTTGTCATAAAAATCCCTTTATTGGTTAAATTCTAAAAAATATAATAGTATATGAACTAAATTAATGACAAGGCTTCATATAAGCTTCTATCCCTTTGGTATTTAATTACTCATAAGTCATACGTCACAATACTCAGAATATCTTTTAACTAGAATACTATTTGTAATCACATGTTCTTTCTCAAGAACCCATTTATTGTTCCATCTTGGTGTCTCCATTAAACTTTATTATATCCGTATCCGTTACAACTAACAACATATATTTTATTCAAATTAAATTAAGACCTCACACGTTTTTAAGATGCTTCTTTCAAAAATGGTTGGAAAATACTTAACAGAATTATCTTTACATTTGATTATTGTAGGAAACTAATGTTTTTTAAACTTAATATTTGTATACACTCATGAAGATTTATAGAAATGAAATTAAAATTAGTTAATTATTGTTGAAGCCTTAAGGTTAGATCGTTAGCTTGAAAAAAGGTACAAATAATGCATCAATTTGAGTACCACATAACATTTGTGTTAAATTTCTTTAAAAACTTTATATTAATATAAACAAATTGTAACTAAAATAATATTTGAAAAACATATTGTTTTTATTTAAAAATAATGACTGTTATTTTTTTTTACAGCCATTACCATAGAAGGCACGATGTCATCATGCATATTATTTCTATATAAGTTATATTCGAAGATAATATTCTTCTATATATAAAACAAACATGAAATTTTTATTACAATATAACCTTTATCTTGTAAGATGTTCTTTTCCCACGATACAAACGCATGTAGATCCTTGATAACATTTTATTTATGGCGGCAAACCCAACAGATGAACTGTCACTTACGAAATAATCCAACTTCATTATTTAAAGTATATTGATTACATTATACGTGTATTAGGACTGATTTTATATAAAAAAAGAATAATTTATATCAAGAATCTTTATTAAAGGCGAAAAAGCTAGCAAACTCTTAGATTTCGAAATTGTTTTATGATATAAAACCTTTTTGTGTATTCGAAAAACCAATTAAAAAGTTCGAATAAATTAAGGAATGTTAAAATTGTTTGGAAGACAGAATTGTATGTCTAAAATATATCGTAGGACTTTTACCATCTCTCACAGAATACAGATGATGGATTCCTTGCATTTTTATCAAATATTTATCAACCTTTAAAGTAAATATTTATGTTCTGAGACGTATTATTATATTCATAGAACAGCCGCCACCCAGGAACATAGTTAATTAAGACGCGATGCGGTTTCAGATCGTTAAAGCGCTATATTTATCTCAAAAGCAATACATTATACCAGAGATTACCTGATAGATAGACTAATTACATCCTCCGACATTACTTAATGCCTTCTTGTTTCCTTTTACACTGACTTGCGAAATAATTGTTTTGCGTAAACACGAACTAACAATTGCTTGTTATCGTGGATTTGTATATAAAACTATATACATATATGTATATAAATAAAATATTTAAATAATATATATATCCTTTTTTATATTCGAAAATAATCGAGCTTGAATAACATATAAAGATAAGATTAGTATCATTTTTATGTGACGTAAATTATATTTGTATTTTAAAGGAAGCGATTATAAAAAAATGATTAAAGAAAATTACAAATGCTATAGAAAATCAATAAATATCAGTGATCTCAGCCGAGCATTGCAATTACGATGGAAAGATCGAAAGAACCTTTTTATAGGAGAATTAATAACTGCGTTGGAAGTTATAACAAAAAACTTTACTTGCGTATTTAACTTGAATTATTGATGGCTTGTTACTACGTAAGATAATGACATAATTAGTTATCATACATAAGTTATATTTTCTCATCTACTTTGTTACAACTTATTTTTCATTCAATTCATTTGTATTAGCTTTGTCAACGAATAAGTATAGTACACAATACTTAATTTGCTGACGAAAAATAAAGGGTATATATAATAATATATATATATTTTTACCTAACCAATATTCTGATGAATTTATCAATAGATTCATCTTAGTTAAACCAAAGTAGATTAAACATTTTGGATGCAAGATGGAATGCATAAGTGTTTTCGTCATTTAAAATTCTCAATTAGATGATTAGAATACAATAATTTTAAATCTCATTACAACAGTGATGTAATAATAAATTTGAACTGATTTTCATTTAAAATATAACAGCATTTTAAAGCTACGGATTCGTCTCATGTCAATTTGACTATTGTTTCGTGCTTGTTGGTGTTTTCTTTACTTTACTAATATTGCGTATTCAAATTTACATAGGTCCTATATCATTAATAAATTTTATAAAACGTTTGATTCATGCGTTTTTTGTTGATAATTCATATTTCTTAACTCGTAAAAGTTACTTATCTGTTAATGTTTAAAAAAAAATGTTTAATTTTTAAACAAAGACTTATTCTTTTTGATTTTATTTTTATATACATCAAAATCCTCAAATGTTGCCATAAGCAAGCTGGCAGTGAAGTCGAAAATTGTAATAAAATTTTATTTATCCATTTAATCGAAAAATACAGCTTAGATCACAATGTGCTAACTCGTAACTAGCAATTTGCCAAAAAAAGTTTACACTATTATTTTATAATGGAGTATATACATTAGAAATATATTATTTCAAGAGAAAATTTAAACAAAGCATTTTAATAATAAGAGAAATAATAAAAAAAAGTCTTAATTTCTGAACGCAATCAATAAAAATTATCAACAGATAAAATTACGTACATAACAAAAAAAAACAACAAAATGTATACCAACATATACATATAAATTAAATATAGCAGATGTTTAAAATGACAGACATTCTGTTTATGGTAGTCCCTGTACTCTTGTACCGTAAGCCGGCTTGACAAAGGTAGTCGATCCCAGCATATCTGACCATAATTCGTGACTCATCCTACAGAGATTATCACAAATAATGTGCCGGTACTCGTGAGCGAACCGAGCGATATTGGAAAGGCTTAAATGAGAACTTATCAATGTCATCTCATACAGAATCACAATACAACCTCTTTTGAAACAAAATTAAAACCTCCATGCTAGATACCTGTTTAATGTACATCCTATCCTT